ATCGAATGTCCGGATAATCGAATGTCCGGATAATCGAATGTCCGGATAATCGAATGTCCGGATAATCGAATGTCCGGATAATCGAATGTCCGGATAATCGAATGTCCGGATAATCGAATGTCCGGATAATCGAATGTCAGATAATCGAATGTCCGGATAATCGAATGAATGTCCGGATATCGAATGTCCGGATAATCGAAAGTCCGGATAATCGAATGTCCGGATAATCGAATGTCCGGATAATCGAATGTCCGGATAATCGAATGTCCGGATAATCGAATGTCCGGATAATCGAATGTCCGGATAATCGAATGTCCGGATAATCGAATGTCCGGATAATCGAATGTCCGGATAATCGAATGTCCGGATAATCGAATGTCCGGATAATCGAATGTCCGGATAATCGAATGTCCGGATAATCGAATGTCCGGATAATCGAATGTCCGGATAATCGAATGTCCGGATAATCGAATGTCCGGATAATCGAATGTCCGGATAATCGAATGTCCGGATAATCGAATGTCCGGATAATCGAATGTCCGGATAATCGAATGTCCGGATAATCGAATGTCCGGATAATCGAATGTCCGGATAATCGAATGTCCGGATAATCGAGTGTCCGGATAATCGAATGTCCGGATAATCGAATGTCCGGATAATCGAATGTCCGGATAATCGAATGTCCGGATAATCGAATGTCCGGATAATCGAATGTCCGGATAATCGAATGTCCGGATAATCGAACGTCCGGATAATCGAAACGTCCGGATAATGAATGTCCGGATAATCGAATGTCCGGATAATCGAATGTCCGGATAATCGAATGTCCGGATAATCGAATGTCCGGATAATCGAATGTCCGGATAATCGAATGTCCGGATAATCGAATGTCCGGATAATCGAATGTCCGGATAATCGAATGTCCGGATAATCGAATGTCCGGATAATCGAATCGAATGTCCGGATAATCGAATCGAACGTCCGGATAATCGAATGTCCGGATAATCGAAAGTCCGGATAATCGAATGTCCGGATAATCGAATGTCCGGATAATCGAATATCCGGATAATCGAATGTCCGGATAATCGAATATCCGGATAATCGAATGTCCGGATAATCGAAAGTCCGGATAATCGAATGTCCGGATAATCGAATGTCCGGATAATCGAATGTCCGGATTATCGAATGTCCGGATAATCGAATGTCCGGATAATCGAATGTCCGGATAATCGAATGTCCGGATAATCGAACGTCCGGATAATCGAACGTCCGGATAATCGAACGTCCGGATAAATGAATGTTAGGATAATCGAATGTCCGGATAATCGAATGTCCGGATAACCGAATGTCCGGATAACCGAATGTCCGGATAATCGAATGTCCGGATAATCGAATGTCCGGATAATCGAATGTCCGGATAATCGAAAGTCCGGATAATCGAATGTCCGGATAATCGAATGTCCGGATAATCGAATGTCCGGATAATCGAAAGTCCGGATAATCGAATGTCCGGATAATCGAAAGTCCGGATAATCGAATGTCCGGATAATCGAATGTCCGGATAATCGAATGTCCGGATAATCGAATGTCCGGATAATCGAATGTCCGGATAATCGAATGTCCGGATAATCGAATGTCCGGATAATCGAATGTCCGGATAATCGAACGTCCGGATAATCGAACGTCCGGATAATCGAACGTCCGGATAATCGAACGTCCGGATAATCAAACGTCCGGATAAATGAATGTCCGGATAATCGAATGTCCGGATAATCGAATGTCCGGATAATCGAATGTCCGGATAATCGAATGTCCGGATAATCGAATGTCCGGATAATCGAAAGTCCGGATAATCGAATGTCCGGATAATCGAATGTCCGGATAATCGAATGTCCGGATAATCGAATGTCCGGATAATCGAAAGTCCGGATAATCGAATGTCCGGATAATCGAATGTCCGGATAATCGAATGTCCGGATAATCGAATATCCGGATAATCGAATGTCCGGATAATCGAATGTCCGGATAATCGAATGTCCGGATTATCGAATGTCCGGATAATCGAATGTCCGGATAATCGAATGTCCGGATAATCGAATGTCCGGATAATCGAACGTCCGGATAATCGAACGTCCGGATAATCGAACGTCCGGATAAATGAATGTCCGGATAATCGAATGTCCGGATAATCGAATGTCCGGATAATCGAATGTCCGGATAACCGAATGTCCGGATAATCGAATGTCCGGATAATCGAATGTCCGGATAATCAAATGTCTGGATAATCGAATGTCCGGATAATCGAATGTCCGGATAATCGAATGTCCGGATAATCGAACGTCCGGATAATCGAACGTCCGGATAATCGAACGTCCGGATAAACGAATGTCCGGATAATCGAACGTCCGGATAAACGAATGTCCGGATAATCGAATGTCCGGATAATCGATTGTCCGGATAATCGAATGTCCGGATAATCGAATGTCCGGATAATCGAATGTCCGGATAATCGAATGTCCGGATAATCGAATGTCCGGATAATCGAATGTCCAGATAATCGAATGTCCGGATAATCGAATGTCCGGATAATCGAACATCCGGATAATCGAACGTCCGGATAATCGAACGTCCGGATAATCGAACATCCGGATAATCGAACGTCCGGATAATCGAATGTCCGGATAATCGAACGTCCGGATAAACCAACGTCCGGATAAACCAACGTGCGGATAAACGAATGTCCGGATAATCGAATGTCCGGATAATCGAATGTCCGGATAATCGAATGTCCGGATAATCGAATGTCCGGATAATCGAACGTCCGGATAAACGAATGTCCGGATAATCGAACGTCCGGATAAACGAATGTCCGGATAATCGAATGTCCGGATAATCGAATGTCCGGATAATCGAATGTCCGGATAATCGAATGTCCGGATAATCGAATGTCCGGATAATCGAACGTCCGGATAATCGAATGTCCGGATAATCGAATGTCCGGATAATCGAATGTCCGGATAATCGAATGTCCGGATAATCGAATGTCCGGATAATCGAACGTCCGGATAATCGAACGTCCGGATAATCGAACGTCCGGATAATCGAACGTCCGGATAAACGAACGTCCGGATAATCGAATGTCCGGATAATCGAAATGTCCGGATAATCGAATGTCCGGATAATCGAATGTCCGGATAATCGAATGTCCGGATAATCGAATGTCCGGATAATCGAATGTCCGGATAATCGAATGTCCGGATAATCGAATGTCCGGATAATCGAATGTCCGGATAATCGAATGTCCGGATAATCGAATGTCCGGATAATCGAACGTCCGGATAATCGAACGTCCGGATAATCGAACGTCCGGATAATCGAACGTCCGGATAATCGAATGTCCGGATAATCGAATGTCCGGATAATCGAATGTCCGGATAATCGAATGTCCGGATAATAGAATGTCCGGATAATCGAATGTCCGGATAATCGAATGTCCGGATAATCGAATGTCCGGATAATCGAATGTCCGGATAATCGAATGTCCGGATAATCGAATGTCCGGATAATCGAATGTCCGGATAATCGAATGTCCGGATAATCGAACGTCCGGATAATCGAACGTCCGGATAATCGAACGTCCGGATAAACGAATGTCCGGATAATCGAATGTCCGGATAATCGAATGTCCGGGTAATCGAATGTCCGGATATTCGGATATTCAGATATTTCGACATTCCTATACTCCGATACTCCGATATTCCGATAGAGCTAAATGTACAAAAAATGGCAGTTCTTGAGAGAACTAAGTGCCCGATTTGAATGATTCAAAGAACTTTCTGCTATTCAGATATTCGGATATTCGGGTATTCGGATATTCGGATATTCGGATATTCGGATATTCGGATATTCGGATATTCAGATATTCAGATATTCGGATATTCCGAGATTCGGATATTCCGAGATTCATCACGTTAAAAAATTCAAACCGGGAAAAAAACACTTCACAAATTCACTCACACATTGTTTTATGAAAAAAAAACAAACTTTGAATAAAATAAAATTATGATATAATTATAATTTATTAATATATTATGACTGATATTAAAATTAAAATTAGTATTTGTTATTATTAACGATTCGTAGATTTCGTTAATTATTAATTTGCCAAAACATGTTTTGTATATTTGTTTTCTCAATATTTGCATAATATATGTATGTGGAGTAAACAAATTTTATAATATAATAGCTAGAGGTATTTGAGTATTTATTAAAAAAATATATTACGTTTATCTTAAATAATACAATACTAGTTTGAAATCGTAGCAAGTTTCTCTATCAATAGGGATCGATTGCTTTTTGAATCATTCAAATCGGTTGATCCGTGCACCCGAAAACGTCCACAAAAATTGTATCCACGCATGCACACATCATACATTTTTTCTATAGTATGCCAAAATGCTAAGAAACCTTCGAAACGTGAAGATATGCAAACATTTTCAATTTTGATTTTTGGACGATTACAATAACTTACCCTACAGAAAGTTAAAAACAGAAAATTTTTGACATTCTCAAACTCCAAAGTATGGTGTATTATCTTACATCCATTTTTATTAATTTTATTCAATCTATTTCCAAACCAAAAAATTTCCGAACCTTTCATTTACTATTTTATATCAAATTCATAATTTTACCACATTTTGCTTGACTGCAGCACAAAACCAGCACAACCACCGCAAAAAATAAATCCAACCGTAATTGACTCATTTTTTTAACACGTTGTAAAATAAAAAAAATGACTGATAATTAAATTGTTGCCGTTGAATTTATATGCGATTTAGAATTTGCACGTGTTTATGATTACAATATATGTAAGTTCTTATCTATGTTAAATATTTTCCTCGCGGAATTAAACGCTTAGAAGTCAAATGAAATTATTAACTACTGGTGCAAAGATAAAACGTGTGATGAAAGGCTATTATTAGATTTAATCTCATGGGAAACTAGAATTTGCAAAAAATCGTTTTATTTTGTTTTATCAAAGTTTAATTATTCAAGAATATGTGTTTAAGAGGATTTTTAAAAATTAGAATTATTTTCGGAGATACAGCTGTTTGACCACTATAAACCTCCTCAGCAAAACTTTAAAGGCGTTTTTCTCGAAACTGCCTTTATCAAAACGGTATCCATGATTTCTCGACTTTTACTGCATCGACTTACTTGAAACTTCTACAGAGTCTTCTTAAAAGACTTCTCAGCAGTATAAACTAAGCTTATCCTCAAATTCAACTTTTGACTATTTTTAAAGATTTTTCAAAATTTTCCTCTCCAGTTTCCTTCCTCTGCAAGCGTTTTTCGCAAAACTGTTTTTTTTATACGATTTCCACGATTTCTCGATTTCTAACTGCACCGATTTACTTGAAGCTTTTACAGATTTTCCTACAAAGACTTCTCATCAGTATGAACTAAGTTTATCTTTAAATTCAATTTTTTACTATTTTTAAAGATTTTTCATAATTTTCCTACTCAGTTTCCTTCCATACGACACCCACGATTTCTCGTCTTCTACTGCACCGATTTACTTGAAACTTTTACAGAGTCTTCTTTGAAAAATTCTCATCAGTATGAACTAAGATTATCGCTAAATTCAAATTTTTACTATTTTTAAGAATTTTTCAAAATTTTTTTTCTCATTTTCCTTTCATACGACACCCACGATTTCTCGACTTTTACTGCACCGATTTACTCAAAACTTCTACAGAGTTTCAAAAATTGCTTAGTTCGTGCAATTTGCCTTAAGGCAAAATTCCACATACCACTAGTTTATATTAAGGGCAAACTATTTATAGATTGATAATATAATTTAGAAGCATAATTGTAAAATGTACCTAAAGAAATTCTTATCCATGTAAATGTAGTTGCAATCCAATTAACTTATTTATATCTTAAGATGTTTTCAACAAGAATTCAGCACAAACATTTTAATAATTAATTATGTTTTTTTAAATCAAAGAACTTCTAGACTTCGTCAAATAATAGCAGTGGTAATCATAAATATGTAATGGGTGCAAAAAAGCTGAAAAATTCAATACATTTTCTATGACTTATTTATGTTTTCAGAGATTGTTTCAAAAATTCAAGTTCAATAAAACAGAATACTGAATTATTTGCAACACGCGCTGCTTTGCCAATTTTTATCTATTGCAAATTATATTAATAAAAAAAGTCTAAATTTAGTCACATGGATTGATTAATTAATCTGTTATATAAGACGTATTTAATTTAAATTATTTATTCAGCGTGCAGATAATTTGAAAATTATGAAATTCACACTTGTATCAATAAACACAGAATTACTTGTAGATGAGATACTAAATTTAAAATTTTATTCTTGAACACAGTAACTTGTTAAACATTTAAGTGAATAATGAGGATCTAAAATTTAGAACAATATATACAATTTAGAATTAAGTCTAAAATTTAGATTTAAGTCTGAATTTTAAAACATGATCTCAAATTTAGAACTTAGAAGAAGATCTAAAAAGATCTAGATTTTAGAAAAAGGTTTAAAGTTTAGAACATTATATAAAATTTTGAACAATATTTAAAATTTAGAACTAAATGTAAAATTGGAACTAATTTCAAAACTTAGAACCACTTAGAACTAAGTCTTAAATTTAGAACAAAATACTAGAATTTAAAATTAAGTCTAAAATTTAGAACTAAGTTAAAAACTTAGAACTAAATCTAAAATTTAGAACTAAGTCTAAAATTTGGACTTAAGTCTAAAATTTGGAACTAGGTCCAAAATTTAGAACTATTACTAAAATTGATAATTAGGTCTAAATTAATAACCAAGTTCAAAATTTGAAACTAAGTCTAAAATTTAGAACTAGATTTAAAATTTAGAACTAAGTTTTAATTTAGAACTAAGTCTTAAATTTAGAACTAGGTCTAAAATTTAGGACAATCTCTAAAACTTAAAACAAAATCTATAATTTAGAACAAGATCTAAAATTTAGAACCAAAAAGATCTAAAGAGATCTAAAATTGAGTATAAGATTTATAATTTAAAACAATACCTAAAATATACAAATTTTTATACAGATTATGATCTAAAAATTAGAACGAGATCTAAAATTTATAACAATATTTAAAATTTAGAACAAGAACAATCACCTAAGTTGAATAAAAATGCACCTGGTAAGACATTCAAATTTAAAATCGGTTCAGCAGTTTAGGAGTCCATCCTGGACAAACATCGTGATATCTTTTTTATGTATAGATATATTTTGCAAATCTCTACCATAATATATATAGATTTCTAATTCCTTAGTAGTAAAACATTCAAGATTTTCATTTATATATTACGATGTCACGTATGTCCATGACTTTGTCTTCTGCATTTTAAATATATTCTGCACGCAAATGCAATTGCATTTAGTGACTCTACAAATATTTCAAAATGGTAAAAAGTATTATTACTTGCGACTGTTGAAAGATTGAATGTTGAAAAATTTAATAATATAGTAAAAAATATGCGTGTTTTTTAGTGATAACTGCCTAAACTTTGCGATATTATACGTAAACAACATATATTATTCTCTATACGATAATATATATTTTCTAATGTGTTTATCCAACACCAATTTAAAATTTACAATGAGAGTATCTACAGTTTTTCTTTAAAAATAAAAGAAATATAAAGATTTTTTTTACGAATTATGGCATTGTTTAATGATTCGAATATAGAAAATGGAAATTCATCAGCAGATGGATTTCTTTACAAAAGAAATGCTACAGGAGGTCCTGGAGGTAAACCAGGTGTTTATGACCTGAATACAGAAGACACAAATTGGGTCATAACTTCTTCATTTATTATTTTTACTATGCAAACAGGTGAATAATAGTATTATCTTAATACATCTATTAAAATAGTTATATTCCAAAGAGTACCTTCTAGATACCAATTTTTCCAGATAGCGTTGTGATGTCTTTTATCTCTAATTTTAAATATTATCTAGCTTTATTTTCAAAGTACAGTTTTTTAATCGAATATATAATAATTGAAGCAAATTATCTTCAATTTAGATTAATTGTGTCATGATTTTATATAAAAAAAAAACAAACAAAAAGTGTACAAAAATATCGGTGTCTAATAAAATCATCGTTGAATCACAAAGTATCTAAATTTTAAATATTGTTCTGAATTTTGAACCTAGTTCTAAATTTTAGATCTTGTTCTAAAATTTAGGCTTAGTCCTAAATTTTAGATTTAACTCTAAATTTTAGATATGGTTGTAAATTCTAGACCTAGTTCTGAATTTTCGTAATTGATTTAAATTCTAGACCAAATTCTAAATTTTAAATCTTGTTCTAAATTTCAAATCTTGTTCTAAATTTCAAATCTTGTTCTAAATTTTAGTTTTACTTGTAATTTTTTGATATTATTTTAAATTTTAGATCATGTTCTAAATTTTAGATATTGTTCTAAATTTTATATCTGATTCTGAATTTTAGATTTGGTTCTAAATTTAAGACCGAGTTCTAAATTTTGGGCTTAGTTTGATTTTTAATTAAATCCACTTAATTATCAAACTAAAATAACTCGAAATATTAATACAAGCGTTTCAAATGACAATCGTGAATTAAAAGAAAGAAATTTTATGGAAAAGCTCTCTAATAATCTTTCTGATTCTAATTTATGAAAAGTACACCGTAAAATTTCTCGTTAGTTTTTTACAACGATGTTCATTTCATTTTCTTCGTTTTATGACAAAATACTAAGTCGATGAGAAGATTTTATGTTTGGATGTCTAGATGTTTTAATATTTCATAGTTAAAACTTAAATTATTTAAAATTAAATTTCTAGTTTTTTTTTTCAATTATATTTATTACCTAACATTTAAATTATTGTGTCAGTCATGTATGTCTGATGCCAAAAAGTTCTACAAGAGTCATGTCAGACATATTTGTCTAAAAACTGAAAATATTTAAGATCAAATTCAAAAACTAGTGGTGTATGGCATCGTGCCTTAAGGCAAATTGCTGTAACTTCCGGTACCGTAACAAAATGTTCGAGAAATTTTAAACGTTTTCAAATATATTATTACAAATTCTGTAACTTTCATTATTTTTGCTATCTTGTTATATCTGAGTGAGCAATACAATGTAAATCATAAATCAATTTATCTCCAGGACATTAACAATCGTCATTTCATTTCGAATTCAATTTAAAAAAAAAATAGTTGCCTAATTTGCACAAAATTGAAAAAGTGCTCCCGCATAGTCACAGTCTAAACGCATTTGCAAATAATTCTGTGCGACATTTTCACCTATACTGTGCTTAGCTTAGCGGCATTTTCACATTTTTCAATAGTTTTCACAAAATTGGAAAAGTGCTCCAGTACATAAACAGTCTAAATGCACTTCGGTAAAAATTTGTACCAGAGTGGCGCTTAGACTGTGCTTAGCCTGGGTGATTTTTTGAATTTTTATTCCAAAATTACAAAAATATTTTACGGAAAATAAAAAAATGTAATAATTTTTTATCCTCAAAATCAATTGTTTTGTCAATACAAGCAGAAAGTTTTTTTAGATCATTCAAATCGAACGCTTAGATCACTCAAAAACTGCAATTTTTTGCACATTTAACTCTGTAACTCCGAAATGGCTGGACCTGTCTTTGCTAAAAACTAATTACCTCTTCACCAATCATTACAAATTGAATGTTTTTTAGATCATTCAAATCCGATACACCGTTCTC